TTATATTTAATCATGTTATTTATTAAATGCTCGACAATGTCTTCTGGTATATTCATTCCACTCATGAGTTACTTTCTTGATATATATTTTTCATAATTTTGGGCTCCACTTTAATTTTGGACAACATTTTTTTGTCGCTATTATTAATAAGTGACACGACTTTGTAATAAAAGTAGATTTAAATTCATATGATTTTGTGTCCAATATTACAATAAATATTCTCTCATTAATATTCATGAATATATACTTATATAATATATAAACGATTCAAACTACTAATAGAGCCATATTATACTTTATATGAGTTGCAAAATTACATTTATAAATAACTATTATTTTTATACTTAAGAAAACGTTGAAAACTAGAAAAATTGATAAGAAATCACAGAAATAAAAAACTAAATTACAAATAAGTTTTCGATTTTTCGCTTAAGAAATATAAATATATAAAAGTTTTATCATTTATTTTTTTTCTCATATTTCAGACACTGAACTCTCAAAACATATAATATTATGAAAAATACTGTGTATTACATGTGGACTGCATGTCACTCAAAAAGAGATGAGTCCTTATAATACACATACAGTGAGAGAGAAAAATATAAGAGATTTGAGAGCCCGTAGTCTTCAATCATCTTCATTGAGACGCCACTGAAAATGTGAAGTAATTTTCATATGATTTGTGAGTAAATATTCTATGCATACGAGAGTCTCGTTCAGAGAGAAAAAGCTCATACTTTAGATCAAAAATTCATTGAACGCTAAGATTGAATGACTTGAAGAATGTTGGCATCACTTCCACAGCCGATGACCAGCCGTTCCCTCCAAATGCTATTGTACTTTGAATTACATTTTTATTTTCATTGAGGGGTAACTTTCGGACACTATTTTTTATTTTTGTTTGTTTGAGTGCATAATACTATCACTTACTATCACTGATGGGATGAACACTCGATAATCATCGTTATATGTCTCTCTTTGGTCATCAATTTTATGCATTTTTGAGTTACATTTGATGTTTAAATTTGCGAAAATATTTATTTCTATTTCTAACGAGACTTTTGGCTCTAATTCTGTGGACATTTGGCGAACAGAGGTGGCCAGAAGGGGTTCACCTGAATATGCGTTTAGTTATTGCAAATTTTGTAGACTTAATATGAATATTAATTAAATGTATTTAATTTAAAAATAATTGCATATTTAGTTAATTGAAAATTATTTGCATATAATTAAATTGATTAACATCTGCCTCCCGGAGCAATGGTGTCCAAAATAATCAAAACCCCCGTATGATTGTAACAGTGATTCACATGCATAGTGTTATCATTAAAGTTAACGATAATACTATATCCTCTGCCTTCTCTCTCACGAAATATAATCAGCTTTTTCTCAGATTTTAAATTAATATAAAATAATATTTTTTCCGAAAATATTTAATACATTCATAGACTGTGTGTCCCGTAAATACAGGCAATAAAAGGTTACGTAAGAGTAGATAATATACGATATATGCATGTATTATATATACGATATAAAGTATAACAACTTTTATACATCATATACACAGTCGTGCCATACATCTAATGTTCACAAAAAAACATTTTTCTTTCCACAAGAAATAAGTATTTCGCGAATGATTTCCTATTTTTCGAGAGAAATATTTTTCCATTGAGTTTTTGATTGACGCGAAAAATTTCGTCTATTATTAGTTTTTTCCCTTAAAAAAGTTTGCGTTTCGATGTGAAGGCCATTATTTCTCGTGTCATTAAAAATCAAAGAGTCGATCAAAAAAGCTGCTGTCAATTAGGGGGTCTTTACGATCGCCTGATGTGTCCCCAGTCTATGCCGACCCAACCCAACCCCTTTTTCTCGTCATAATCATTATTAACATTAATAAGAATCTATTTAATTGAAAATTAGCTCTGATTTTGAAAGAGGGAGGAAAAGAGAAGAGCAAAAAAAGCATAGTTTGAGTGCTGAACGGAGAGACCATCCGTATAGTAGAGCCTAACTAGTGATCACACACAACATCCCACAACTCTCAGCCCCGGGAACTCGTTATAGCGGACACACAGCTCTCCATCATATTGTCGTACATCTGAGCGTATATTAACCCCTCCTTCTAATGGTGTGGCCTTTACTGAGAGCTAGTACTGAGCGGAACCGACACTTCTCTACTCTTCTCTCACAACTAATATAAATAGTGTTTTCAACCGTAAGAAGTCTTCAGTCAAAAGTCAAACACACCGTTCCGTTCAACAGCAACAACGAGACAACACAACTGTGCAATAGTGTGTGGATTGTAAACTAGTATACCATACAATCAAATATATATATTCCTGTGCTAACGATTCACTTCAAGCTTTTTTCTTTCTGTTAATATCGCTCTCTATCTCTTCAGTGTTGTATATGTGCTGTGTTTGTGAGAAAACCGATTGAAGAGTGGTGTACACACCATAACCTATGCAACTCAGCACACGGTGTACATACCTGTACGCGAATCACCTTTTAGTGCAAATACCTGTGCTGTGTATGCGATACAGCTGACTGTGTGCCGTACTCCTTAAAAACTACCTTGCTCATTGTCATCGTACAATCGCCCGTTTTTCACAGTTTTTTCCATTATAATAATTTTTGGTTCATTTGGCGGAAACAAAAAGTACAATAACTATGGGTCAGGCATTCTTCGGCTGTATATTCTTCCTCATGTGTGCCGTTGTCTCGGGTAAGGCTTTTATACGATTAAATTTACCTCTTTTATTAAAAAATAAATCCATGCCTTTAGTGCCCCTCATATTCAGATTTTTGCAATAAATTAATGGTCACTAGCATTAGGTCAGTGCCCAAACTGTGTGTGCGATATCTCCCCTCTCATTACAAAAACATCACATAATATTAATTACCATTCTTTTCATTATTTACCGCAATATACTGTATAATACATTGCAATATATTTTTCGTAACTGTTTTACTGAAACACAAAAACTATTTTCGCAAAAAAGAGTAATGTATTTATGAATATGTAATATATTATATTTATAACAGCCTTTTTATATGTTGAATACCTCTCAGCAAAGGGTCAAATGTCAGTAGCAGTCAATCCCTTCCCACTCTTAGGAGTTATGTATATGTTATGTAACCATAAAGTAATGCGAGTGTTGTGTGCGCTCTGGAAACGGTGTTTTGCCTCATATTATCATTATTATTGGCCTTCAATTTTTCAGACTATTTATTAACTTTTTTCTTCTTCTCCGGTTCTGTGTGTGTATTATGTGTTATGTATTTATATTTCGATACCAATTGTATAATTCAGTGAAACAAATTCTGTATATTTTTTTCATTTCGCAATACAACACAACACGAATCGCATTAACATATGATTATAACACAAATGAAATATTATTAGCAGTAAATACTATCTTTGAGAAGTAGAAAAAACTTATTATTTGAATTTGTAATTCACTGTAATTTCTTTTCAAATTATAAGAAATATCTTTTTTTCTGTTGTAATCGATTAGTTATTTATCTGTTATGTGTTTAGACTTGTATTCAAGATATTAAATACAAGAAATGCTTGACTTAATGGCATAATATGTGAGCAACAAATGAAATGCAATATTAAGCAAAAAATAGATGTTTTTGAAATCAAGTTATCGCCGGACTCTCGCTGTGGACCACAAAATCTAGATAAATAATATGATAATTCTTTATGCGATTTGAAATTACTGTAAACTTATTTTCTACATAACTAGAGACTATTATATAAGATATGCAGCAATAGATTAGATATAAATTGTCAAAACATTTCATTTGTCAATATATCAGTGCATTTGTAGCTAATTTGCAAAAATATATTTCCGATAAAATTGTTTTCTTTTTGAAATGTTTTTTTTCTCACAAATTTTGCGCAAAAAAGTTGTTTTTTCTAACAAACAATCAAATTATATAGTTTTTCAAAATGAATAGAATTGACAACTTTTTCTCCCCATTGAAAAAGCAAATTATGTTTTTTTCATTCAAAAACCAAATATCACTTCCGAGTCTCAACATTGACTTTGATTTCAAGGTTTTTGTGTCATTGGATGGGAATTTCTATTAAGAATGAATTAAATTTTACATAAAATAATTGAACATTTTTTAATTAGTAACAAATTTTTTTTATGTGTGAGAAATAATTTATTGAAGCAAAAATTATTGCTAATATTTAATGATATCTATTTATTAATACTAGTTAATATATAATATTTATGAAACGATGCGAAAATATGTGTGAAATTTAATTAATTATTTCTTATCTCTTTCTCTTTTCTCTCTTTATTATTAATAATATTAATGACAAAATCAATAGCGAGGGTAACGTTTGAGAAGATGACAAATAGAGATTATCCGGGAACTACTTATTACACGATACGTAACGTATCGTTATATGAGTGTCTGGGCTGGTGTCGCGATGAGGGCGACTGTTCGGCCGCGTCCTTCAGTTTTGTGGTCAACCCTTTAGCACCCATTCAGGAGACGACATGTTTGCTGCAAAACGATACTCAGGCCAAGAAACCGACCAACGCTGCCGCCGGCACCGCTGGGGCCGCAGCCACGGGTGGTGTCAGTATTGGTGGTACTCCACAGAAAGCCATAAATATGTATTACTTCACGAAAGCACAACTCAGATCAGGTGAATAGTCAATACCATGTTTTTAATATCTAATGCTATTATTATTATATATTAGTTTTTATTGAATTCTTTAAATGCTCTCTCTCTCTCTCTCTCTCTCTCTCTCTCTCTCTCTAACATTTACAATAATCTATTCTGTCATTTACTTCCACAATAAAAGGCGATCACGATTTGTGAATTATATTTTCGATTATTATCTCTACGAAAATTGTTTCGCTATTAAAATAAAATACATTTTCTCTTCAAATTCAATTACAATAACACAAGCGATTTGTTGAATGCGTTTAAACTATAAATTCATATTTTATTAAAGCGTTTCATTTAACTCTTATTGTATGTCTTGAACACAGAGAATGTGTGCAATCGTTTGTGGGCTTTCGAGCGCTTTCCCAATCGCGTCCTCCGAGGTCTGGACAACGCTATCATCTATACATCCAATAAGGAGGCCTGTCTTGCGGCCTGTCTTAATGAGGTATACATA